CCTTAGGACTAACATAGTAGACAAAAGAGTTATGTAAATCCTAAGAAGAGACATGTGAAGTTTTGGAACGATGAATTTGTGTTTCTTTGAGTTTCTTCGATGAAAGAAGTAATGCGGTTTGGCAAGAAAGAAAAACCGAGCCCGAGATACATTGGACCGTTTGAGATTGTAGATCGAATTAGAGCGATGGCTTATGAGTTGGCGTCGCCGTCATAATTCTCAAGTGTATATCCAATGTTTCACCTTTCTATGCTAAGCAAATATGTACTCGACCCATCTCATGTTTTGAAATCATAATTAGTGGAGTTCAATTTTGATTTGTTACGTGAGGAGCAACTAGTAGTCGTAGTAGACCAATAGGTTAAGAAGTTACAAAATAAGGATATTGTGTCCGTCAAGGTCATTTGGAGGAGCCATTCGACCAAATAAGCGACTTAAGAGGTCGATGAGAAAATGAAGAGGAAGTATCCTTATTTGTTCATCTAGTAAGGTTTGAATAGAATTGAAATTTAAGGATGAATTTTCTTAAGAAGGGAGAATGTAATAACTTAAAAAAAAAAAAAAAAGAAGGGAATTTTGGCTTAGTAGAAATAGGAGCAATAATTGCTCCTCCCTTTCAAAAATTTCTCTTTTTTCTCCTCTTCCTCTTCATGTATTCTTTCCCAAATTTCCCCAACTTCCTTTTTTTAATTCCTAAGCTAATTCCTTATTAAACTAGCTTATGAGAACCATAAATTAGGTTATTTAAGTTTAGTTTATCTAGCTTGAGGCTTGAAAAGCTTAGAGAGCTAGGATTGATTTAGGGATTTAAAGAGCAAAGTGTGAAGGTAAGATTTATGATCAATTAATCTTTGAATTGAGATGTTTATGTGTGGTTGATGATGATATTAAAATTTAATTACTTTGGGTTTGTTAAATACTTGAGGAGTTGATTAGAATAAGGTTAGGACTTTGAGACCATTTGGAGAAAAAATGATTCTAAGTGATTATAATGATTTGAGTGATGTTTAATTGGGTGAGTGAATTAAGTAGTTAATTTGAAATGCAATCAAGTTGAATTTGAGAAATTGAGAGGTTAAAGATGATGAATAGTGATAAATTCAAAAATTTAAGAAAAATGAGGAATTAGTTATAAAAGTATAATTAAAGATAAATTGAATGATTATTGGATGAATTAAGATAGAATAGATTATCTAATTAAGAATTGATTGATTAAATGGTTGAATTGAAAATTCATGATTTCATTAAGAACCGAGTGATGATAGAATTTAGTTAAGCAATGAGTTAGAATTATTGGAGAGGTAGTAGAGTCTAGTTAAGGTTATTGGTTTGAGTTTTTCGATCAATTTTATTTTGTTGATTACCTTGTATTCTTGTTTCAAGAATAATTTATTATTTTTATTTATTACTAGTTTTTTTGTCCACGTTACGCCACGGGATGGACAAAACATGTAAAATTATTTTAAAAAATCATTTCAACTTAATGGTTCATGTTATATTGTAGGTCGATAAAAAATATATAAAATCAAAAATTAAAAAACAATCCAATTTTATAATATTTTATTCAAATTGTTTTATCTAACTATTTCTTTTTTATTTTTTATTTTTTTCCATAATTTTCTACTTGAAAAATATTAATTCTTCTTTATTCATGGATTATTAAACAAAAAGAGAATTAAAAATTAAAAATTATTCTTTATTTATTTATTAAGAAAAAAATTATATTAAAATAAAAAATTATATTTCAATCATTGAGTTAATTATGAAAAAACATAATTTCATATAGTTAATTTAAGAGAAATTGATTTAAAATATCTATAAATAAATAAATAGTAAAATGCTTAGTGCTATACTTGCATAGTTGATTTTGGTAAAAACAAATGATTCAATTTTTTAAATTATAAATATATCGAGTGGGCTTAAAGTCTACATTGTAAAACAAAAGATATTTAAAAAAGTTACTTGGAAGGAATATTTTGAATAGATTTGAAATTTATAGATTAAAATAAAATTTATTAAAAAATAATTCTTATAAATTTTGATATAAAGAAATATTTTCACTTATTTTTTATTTCTTTTCTATGTGTTAAAGGGAAAAAAACAAAATAAATGAAAAAATAGTAAATAAAATGAAATAATCAAAATTTAAAATTATAGAAACCAATTAATTTATTTATGGAAACAACAGGGACCAATTTATAATTTATTCTTGATTGTAATTCTTCCTTGCGAAAAAAAACAAAGAGAAAAAAAACAATGAATGACAAAGCATTTAATGCTATGTCCAAAGCAAATGATTGGCAAACAAAGGAAATGATTGAAAAAAAGGAAGAAGCAAATTAAAAAACAAATCAATTAAGGGTAAATGTGAAATTTTATAATTCCACCGAGTGGCATGACAAAAATTAAGAAGAAAATGGAAGGGCTTTTGTATGGAAAGCAAAAAACAAAAAAAGAAAGAAAACCCAAAACCCGGATTGAAAGAAAAAAATATGTGAACAGCTTAAAACAATGGGAGTGAATAGTCTAAAAAAGTAAAATGCCCATGCCTTTTAGTTTCTTTTAATTTGATGTATGGTATTGATGGATGTTCCATCTTTTTATGATGCTAGATTTTTCAAAACGAACGACTCCATCTCAACCATTTTGATTTCCATTCGATTCGTCATTTGTACTTTAAGTGAATATTATATAGCATACCGTGTTTTATATTCCTTTGATTATACCGACCATCCATCATTATTTAAGAATGATTTAGACGCATTTTAGTAGAATTTAGATGGGAATGAACTTCATACTATTTGAAATATTTTCGTATGAAAATGATTTGTTATGAATGGAAAAAGAGATTTCAATGTGTTTGATAAATGTGTTATCGAAATTGACATGCGATTTTGGATTTGAATGAATGTGTCGTGTTCGTTATTTTGAATATCCATATAATTTCTAGAAATACATGCATGGTATTTGAAATATTGGTTTGAAAAATATATAAATATGTTTGGTTTTCGAAAATATTTTCGAGACCTTAGGAAACCTAGCTACCGAAAGATAGCCTTTGAGCTCGATGATATGAGGTTCTAGCTAGCGGGAGAGGTACAAGTGCTAGCTCGTGTGTCAATTAACACATAGAAACCTAGTCACGAGGGGCGTGACCTTTAGTGTGATCACACCCAATGATATGTTATTATCCCACGTGTGTATAAAACCTATTTATGAGATTTCGTATGATAAATATTTTGATGATTTAATATGAAATGGTTTTGAACCATTTGATTTGTGATATACGATATGCTTTTATGATATGTATGTTTTTTTGAAGAAATAAGCATTGTATTTTGAGATGAATTTGAAAGTATCATCCTTGGTCCGTTTTTCTCTTTTACTATGTTATATATTATCTACTCACTCGAATCGTTAATTGCTTACCCCTCATTATTTCGGCTTTGCAAGATATCGAGGGATTGCCCTTTCGCTTCATTTTGGTCGCTTTTCGTGAAGTTGGCACTTTGGTCGTGTGACTTACTTTAATTGTAATTCCTTATAACTTATGTATGTTTTGATTTTTTGTATTTTTAGAAACTTTGTAGTTATAGTTGTGGGTGTTGTGTTAGAGATTAATTATGAATATTGATTTAGAGAAATTAAAGGATAATATTATATTAAGAATTGATTATGAATAGCATGGTATTATCAGTTATATTGATGTTATCAAATGATTATTAATTTAGGATAATGTGAAATGAAATGATTCGAGGATTTTAGTTTAATATCCGAGGCTTGCTTAGATCTAGGTCGACCTTACGATTTTCTCGATTCTCACACCGATCATGACCTACTCTCGAGGTCGTGGCGTAAAGTTATAGATCTTCATGAGCCTATGGATGGAGTTCTTGGTATTAGATCAAGTATACCTATGAAGATTGAGATTCTTTTCTTAAGAGTCATTTGCAAAAAAATCTATTATTTTCTTCAAGTATATTAGATGGGTTTTGAGTAAAATAATTTGATATTGAACTTGTGCGTTTACGAGATTTATTGTTATTATTGATTTATTTACCTCAACAATCCATAAAATTAGAACTTGAATCGGTTTTTTAAAATTACAAATTTACTTATTATTGAATTCTTGAAAACTACGATATGTAAATATCAATGAATTATTCTCCTCACTCATGCTAAAAGTAAAAATCATGGTGTTAATTACTTTCTAATTGGTTAATTAAAGTAATACAAAGAAAACTTATTAAGTCTAAAATCTTATGTAAATAGAAGAGAACTACATTGGAAGTATTTAATAATCTCTCATCGGAATCTTAAGTTTCTAAATGGTTAATTTAGATTATAAGAAGGAGAACCTCATCTCGACCTTTTTGAAGAGTCGGCAATTTTATGTCTCTCTAGTCCTATTCACAAAGATATTCTAACCACATAAGTGTGAAAGACGATCATAACAATAAGATTGTGAAAAAAAATATTTCTTATATTAATATGATTTGCTTATCTATACATCTATTTTTATCTATTTAAAACAAAAAATCCATATGGAATAAACAGTTTCTTTCCCTGTCCTTCCATTACAGTCACGAGCCATTCCTTACCTATATTTCTTTACTTTTTTATGACAAACGTTACCGTTAACTAATATTTTTGAATTTTTGATATTTTCTAAAAAAAACAGAAACCAAAGCCAACTATCAACTTCATTTTGCATATCCGGTCCAATTTGGTTTGGTGCAGAAAGCAAAGCCCAACAAATTAATAATAGCTCAGGGCTTTACGGTGACCAAATACTAATGTACCACACGAAGCAAACAAGACAGTTCCGTATCTTCTTTTTTATAGTTACGTGTCTCTACGAATCACAGGCTACCAGCTGTCAATAATTCAGTCGCCGGCCTCCTCCTCCCCCTCCTGTTTGCAAAACTGATCTCGACCCTCTTCAAAACAACAAAAGCACCCAAAAACTGAAACTTGTTCTCAGCTCACAATCTGCCACTATGATCATCTCAAGATTTAGCCTTTATCTCATTATTATAACCACAGTAATTGGGCTTTTATCCTCTACATCAAAATCAATTCGTTTCGAGCTAGAATCAGGACACACGAAATGCATAGCAGAAGACATCAAAAGCAATTCTATGACTGTTGGAAAGTATAGTATTGTTAACCCCCATGATGGCCAGCCTTTGCCCGAGTCACATAAACTCACTGTCAGGGTAAGCTATTTAAAAAGACCCATGATCTCTCTCTCTCTCTCTCTCTCTCTCTCTCTCTCTCTTCGGCTACTTTAAAGTTTGTAATTTGTGGTTTAATTTTTTATTTATTTATTGTGGTGTAGGTGACATCGAGTTACGGGAATAGTTATCATTATTCAGAGCGTGTGGAATCAGGGCAGTTTGCTTTCACGGCGGCGGAGGCAGGGGATTATATGGCGTGTTTTTGGGCGGCGGATCATAAGCCAACAGTGACTTTGACTATTGATTTTGATTGGAAGTCTGGCGTGGCTGCTAAGGATTGGACCAATGTTGCCAAGAAAGGCTCCATTGATGTAAGTCAACTTGCTTTATTTTTCATTTTTCCCCTGGTTTAATGTCTGAATTTGAGGCTGTTTTTATTTGGCTTTTTGTTTTAATAGTCATAATTGTCATCTGCTATCATAAATATTAGGTATGGTATTAGAAGGAAACAAAGCTGTTGAATTCAAGGCTAATTTGGGGTTGGTTTTAGTTGATAGATCAGAGAAAATTCTCCTATTGTAGTTCTTATTGAAGATTATCAGATGCATGATGATCTCGTACTGTAAGATCAGGTGCTGTCTAGGAATAAAGTGATGCCCTTTTAGGCACCTAAGGGATAGAGCTATGAAGCTGTAGCTCCGACCCAGGCAGAGGTAAGAAGGAATAAACGGTAGCAGACAAGTTGGGCGTTTTCTATTGAACCATTCTATGGTGGGTGTTTGATTTGCATAACCCTGACATGTCCGCCTTACATTTTCAGAAGTAGTATATTACTGATTGTAGCAGGAAAGTTGAATTGGACTTTCATATGACAGCAACTAGGCTACTGTGAGCAATATTAGTTTCAAATGATGTATTTAGAATGGCTTATTAAAAAACTATGACATATGCAGAAATGGCATGGTTAAGTGAGAATTTATGTATCAGATAAGAGAGGGTTAACATGGATGGTTTTAGTTGCAGGCGATGCCAGGCATTATAATTTATCGTAACACAGACAAGGAACAGGAATTACAGTCTTATGAAAAGGTATTAGAGGGTTGTCTAAAAGGATGCAGCCTAAAAATAATCTTTTAGTTCCGCAAGTTGGAAGTCACAAGCTTTGTGATTTAACTGGAAAAAAAGGATGTATGCCATGTAATAAACCTGTTGTTGTTGATACCTTGTTCTCAGTCCTTCTTCTTCTTCTATAACCTGAGCTCGTGCTTACTGTATCCCTTGCCCCTACGGCAATCCTTCCTAACCTAATAGCTGACTTATAAGCAGCCTTTCATCCCTTCTCTGTGGTTTGAAGTCGAAGGCTCTTTCCCTTATTTATTTTCATTTTTAAGGGGTCGTCTAATCTATAGCATTGCAACTGAATTCCATTTAAGAGGTGCTGTGAGGAAAGAAAAAAAGGGTCATGGAAGATGTTCTTAACCTGAAGGCAAGAGCTATGCTGTTTTTCTTCTCAAACCATGGAACCCTCCAGGCTCTAGCAATTAGCTTTAAGTTGGACTATCAAACACCATCTGCGATTTGCTGTTTGCAGCTGCTGAGCATCCATAAGTCATTTTTTGCAGAATGAGACAAAGACAGCCTCCAGTACTTGTCATTTATTGTTTCATAATATTACTTTCCTATAAAATCATGGACATCTTTTGATATTATGTTATGTCGTTTCACCAATTCTACATTAGTTTTATATTTGGAAGTGTTGAAGATTCTTACCCATTTGCATTAATCTTAAACACAAGGTTATGGAATTGGAGCTGAAGAAAATGTATGACACAGTTATTTCCATTCAAGAGGAAATGAATTATCTTCGTCAAAGGTGAAGAATTATCTGTTTTCTCCAACAATTATGAGAGCTAATAAGCTTAAATATTCTATTTCTTGTAGTTGTAGTTTTTTCTGGACATGAGACTCTTCCTAACATGCTTAATGTTTGTTGCAGAGAAGAAGAAATGCAAGATCTGAACATATCTACTAATGTAAAAATGGCCTGGATGAGTTTTCTTTCGATTGCTGTATGTTTATCTGTGGCAGGCTTGCAAGTGTGGCATTTGAAGGCTTTTTTCCAGAAAAAGAAGCTCATTTAGTTTACATTTGACAAACAGTCTTCTCTTCTTTTTTTCTCCCCTTGTAAAATGTTTTACACATGGTCATACTTTGGGAAAGAATAATTCAGATTAAATGCGACTTTGGCCAACTATTCCCGAGTTTTGAGCTATCTAGTGTAGAATTAGTTTTCCGGATGCCAGGGAAGCATTTCTTTGTAACACTTATAAATTCCTATTCAAAATCTGAAGCCCTTGCAGAATTACTCTTGGCAACTTTTCTCGACCCAGGTGTTCTAGTTGTTTGTTTTGAAATCATTGGCCGCTAGCCATGCATCGTGAAAATTGAGTACCTGGCAGTACGGTTCCAGAAAACACTGGGAATTGTTTCGGCGTGGTGGCGACCAGCTCAAAACCAACAACTATAGTGTTCATCCCTGATTACCCCTCCCTCAACCTCATCCCTTCTCAAAGAGGTAGGCCTGACCTCTGTTGGCTCCCCTAGTCAAATTCAAAAGAGATGGGGAAAACAACCAAAAACTTATATGCATAACACCGTTGCACTGCCTTTGTTTCTATTTGTGCATTTTCGTGAAAGAACCACAAAAAGTTCGAACGGCAAATTAAGAAAAAAGTTTAAATGGTAAATTTAAATGTTGTTGGGTATCATTTATTGAAAACAAAAACAGAAAACCTGTTTGCTTTGGTTTTAAAAAGCGCACAAATTCAAAAACTGATTAGTCAAAAATTTTGGAAACCAAACAATGTAAATTGCAAAAATTGTGATAGCATAGCAGTTACTGCTTTTGGTTTCTTTTCCAACAAAAAAAATATAAAAAATAGCGTTCTGTTTCTATTTTCAAAGATTTGACAACAAAAACGCAAATGACACTAAACAACCCATAAGATGTTCAACTAGCCACAAACCTATTAGGAAGTTGAGAAGAAGCTTTTATTTGTTCATTGTCGTACACGCAGAAATCAGGTCAAATTACTATACCATAAAATCCACAAGAAAAATATGAACCTCAATGAGATCAAGGAGTCTAGCATTTACAACTTACACAGGAAACACAACCTAGAATCTTTGAAAAAATCTCTGGCAATGGAATATTGCTGATTCTCATGTCTTGCCATAAGAAGACAGAAAAAGAAAAAAAAAGAAAAAAAACTCAGTCAGATGACGATACATTCTATATGTCAGTTAATTGAAAGAAATTCCTTGACAAGCTAGCTTTTAGACCAACATTTTGAGGGAAAAAAAAAACTCTTAACGTGCATGGCCTTCTCTGACCAAGATAATCGAGGGCATTTTGTGGAAAAACCAGTAATAGCAATCACTTTCGCAATCTTCTTAGTAAAATCCATCCACGACATCCGCACAAATCGTGAGTACAAGATATGACTGTGAGGAATAGCAAATGGCCAGAATATTTGACTATCTCATTGTGCTCGAGGCTATGGATTGAATAAATGCCAGTGATGATCTGTCGGTAAGTTTTCCTTGATCTTTTCAAGTCTCTTCAGAATTTCCAAGAAAGTAGGTCTTTTATTCATGTCAGGAGCCCAACACTGATCTGCCAATCTAAAAGCATTGAACAATAAAGAAATTAGCAACCAAGGGTTGACAAACATGAAGCATTTTAGTATCATATCTTTTAAAAGGAACACTTTCATAGGGCTTTGACCTGAACTGATATTTCAGTTGTTGACAACCGAAGACCAGTTCAAGTTAAAGAAAGATGCTGAAAGGTATACAGTATATTACGATAAAAATATGCTTTACCACTAAAAGAAGATGCCAGACTTGATTTTAATTGAACGGAGAGTAGAGAAACAGTAAATAATTATTAGCCATAGGACCCATTTCATAACTATATCTATAACTTCCTTTCCTCTATTTACTTTAAGCTAAACCAAGAAAACTTAACATCGCAAGTGACCATAAGAATTATCAATATTTCAATAAAGAAACTTGTTCCTTTTTTAATTTGACGAATTAGATTTGGCTTATCAGTTATTTTAAGGTATCTATATAGAAGTGCGGTTTGGTTTACTGGCTTTGGAAGATGCCAACTGATATCAACTTTGTTTTCCTTCACATACATTTTCCATCAGTAATTATAAGAAAGAATTCTAGCCAAATGCAAATTTATTAACTTCCCATTATGAAATATAATGCCTCTTGGGATTATAGTATGTATATGCCATGCAAGAGGCGTGCATTGGGATTGGGTTCGATACAGATGGAACATTTTAAAAAGGACGTGCAACTTCTGGTAGTCCTTCCAAGACGGGAAAATTTTAAAAAGAAATTGAGGAACTTCATAAAATTGACTTACTCTCTGAGATCAAAGACATTAAATCCTTTGGAACGAAATGTTGGCCTGTGCCCTTCTGCCACAAACTTGGCTGCTTCATATGGCTCAAAATTCGAAAAAGGTGGTTCCCCTTCAAGCATCTGCGAAGAAGAAGAATATAATGCATTACAAGTTGTTTTAAATACACCACTTGTAATTTTTATACTGAACGGAACCACAATTACCTCATATAGTATCATCGCAAAAGAGAAAACATCTACTTTCTTATCGTATTTCCGGTGCTTGAAAACTTCAGGAGCCATATACCGGTCTTTTGTTTGTTAAAAAAAAAAAAAAGGAAGAAGGAAGTAAGTAATAGATCGATTCTATCAAAAAAAAAATTTGCTAGAGACACTCACAACTTCCTGTCTCGCCAGTCATTTTGTACACATCATGAGAGTTTTGAACCTTTATGAGCTTGCTAAGACCAAAATCCCCAACTTTCAAATGGTCTGCATTGGAGTTGACTAAAAGAACATTCCTGAGAATTAGAGAACAAATATTAACAGGTAAAAGAAGAAGGGTGCTGTAAATATCGACTACGTATTCTCAATACTGGAAGGTTCTAAACATCCAAGAAACGCGTTTTGCATGTTGGGAAAAGCCAAATCTATTAGCCAAGAGTTCTTCAAATAGGAAGGTGAGTTTTTAAGTTTTCGGTTAAAAGCATGGAAATATTAGCTAAAAGAGAACTGTAAGACATAATTATATGTCCAAATAATTTGGAAAAAGAATGAGCTCACCTTGGTTTTAGGTCTCTGTGAACAATGACATTTGGTTCATTATGAAGATATGCCATGCCTCTGGTCACATAAGATAGACAGAACTCAGATTAGCATAACAGTTAAAGTCACTACGGTTCCATCTGCAACTTAAATAACAGTTTTTCAAACAAAGCTTCAAAATACTTCAAATTTTCTAATAAGTCATTTGAAAATGAAGTACTGCAAAACTATTATCACAAAGCTATATGGCTTTGTTCATGTTTCACAAAGCAGCTATGCATGGAAAATAAGGGAAGTCAAAAAAAGAATACATTTCTTCACATTCAAGTACAATGATACTTGTATTATTCTCATTCTTCTTTCTCAACAATATGAGCGAAATACTAGGACCATTCAGATAGTTGCATCCATACAAAATACTCCTATTATTAAAATGTCAGTGAGTAACTGCAGTTAGGCTGGAAGAAAAGGCACATGTGAGGTAAACAGGACAATATAGCCCTTACAGTGTCCAAACAGCATCTTCTAGTGAGAATAACAAGAGCCCCAAACCAAGAAGACATACAAATAGAAAAATGGCCCTGGATTAGGAATTATATATATGAAAAGCATAGGTTCATTGATTTGAAAAAGAAAGATGCTTGATTCAATTCACTGTTATTAGCTTCACTTTAAAATGATCTTATATTAAGAAATTTTAGAGGTATTTGCAAGAAAATCTCATCCAACAAGTTTGGATAGTTGAATGAAAAAATAATGTTATCAGAGAAAGAATAAACACTACACAATTTTCTGGTTTGCAATTCAGAAAGTTAAGAAGTTCTGCTTACTTAAGTCACACCACTGCCCTTGTCAGTTCACAAACTCACTTGTTTTTGTGAAAAGCCAAGGAATCATATCCTAACAGCAAAAGGTATCACTTACAGCATGACAAAGGAAGATGGTTCTCAGCAAAATACCATGTAATGCAAGTAAAGGCTCAAAAAATTGTATTTCCTAGAAAAACTAGATTTCTACTAAGATCATTTCCTTACTTCCCCCATTTTTCTTCCCCTGGAGATGAGCTCTTTTACGTATTCATGTACACCTATAAAATGAAAACAAGGTCTACCAGCTAACAACAAACCAAATATATGGGTAGAAAGGTCCTGCATACCCTAAAGTAAATACAGAATAACACAAGCTTTTATGTACCTGGCAATGTCCAATGCAAAGTTTATGGCTGTTGATGGACTTAGCGCACCCTTTTCCTTAAGGTACTGATGAAGATCACCCTGTGTCCGCACATGAATAGATTAAGATTGGCTTAGAAAGTTAATCAGTGACAAAAACTTTTTCAGAGGGAGTTCGAATTTTGGAAGAAGAAACAGATGTTGACTCACATACCCCTCGTAGATATTCAGTGATTAACATGAGGGGCTTCCTCTCAGTGACAGCTCCCAGAAATTGGACTATATTAGGATGACGAAGCTTGACTAGCAAATTAACTTCATGCCTGAAGTCCTGACTGAACCAGCAAAGCGACAGATGAGTAAGCAAATTGACAATATAACAAATTAGAGTAGAAGGAAGTTTATTACAGCTACAAAAAGCACCAGATTGATCAAGATATTGAAAATAATGGCCCCTGTCAAGTGAAATTCTCTCTTGATCTCAATAGAAAGTGGAGGCTTGTCAATTTCAGTAGAAACTAGATAATCATCTAGAATAAATTTCATGCTTTCCAAACGAGAAAATATATTGATCCAATCTTCTATGTGGTTCTGATTCATTGCCATTATATGGTATTATGGTTCATAGCATAGCATAAATAAACAGGAATAACTCGGCCAAAATAGAATAAACTAGCTGGTTGCCTGCGCTACACTCGCAAGTCCAATAGAATCAAATCATTTTAAAATTTTAAAAATTTTTAATTATAATTTTTAATTTAATTAATTCTTTCTAGTGTTTTTTTTTTTTTAAATTCTCTACTTAGAAAAAAAACATAAATCATTCTCCTTTACGGATTGATTTTAAAATAAAAAATTATAATAATTTTAACTAAAATATTAATCAAAAATTAAAAAAACTTTAAAAATATAATTTTTTTAATAATGTATTCCAAAAAATAAAGTTATAATTAATGGACAAACTTTTACAAAAATTAACAAATGAAAAAGAATTTCTTATTTAATGCTGATGAGAAAATTAACTTTTGAAATAATACATGCAATGATACGAGTAGATAGAACAAAATCATTTCAAAATTTCATAATTTTTTCATTAATTTTTTATTTCATTATAACTATTTTTTATTTCATAAAATTTATACTTAAAAAAATGATTTATTCTTCTTTATTCAGGGATTATTAAATAAAAACTTGTAATAATTTAAACCTGAAATATTAATTAAGAATTAAAAATAAATACTTTAAAATTATTTGTTTTATAAGAATGTATTCAAAAAATAAAATTACAATTAATGTATAGACTTGCATAAAATTAATCAATGAAAACATAAAATTTTATTCTTATTTAATGTTAGTGAGAATATTTTTTTTTCAAATATATGCATTTGTTCTATATATATTTATTTACAAAATAATCAATAAAATTAGTATAAAAAACTATATTTGAATAATTGGTTGGTTTCTTTAAAAAATTATTTTATTTTAAATAAATTGATTTTATAATGTTAAAAAAATATTTATAGTAAATAATTTGTATTATATTAGAAGATGTACAATTAATTTTTAATATAAAAATAATAATAATAATTAACTTGATGTGGATTTTTACAATAAATTGAAAAGATCAATTTTAAATAATAAAAATAATATTTATTTATTCTAAAATCTAAAAACATACCGTATATATTATATAATCGTCGACTTACGTGGAAAAAAATAATTATTTTGGAAGATGTATCATAAATTTTTAATATAAAAATAAGAATAAAAGTTAATTTGATGTGAATTTTTATAATAAATTGAAAGAATCAATTTTAAACAATAAGAATAGTATGTATTTATTCTAAAATCTAAAAACATAGCGTATATATTATATAATCATTAGTTTATGTGAAAAAAATAACGATTGATTTTTCAAACTTTTAACGCCCAGTTAAATAAAAAAAGAACATAAATTGATGAAAAAAATCAAAGGAAAAACCCAAAAAAAAAAAAAAAGGTGTAGTGCATCAACTATGAGGTTAAAATTTTTATTTTAAAATTCTAAAGACCAAAATGAAATAATTTAGAAATTACAAAAAAAAAAAAATGAATAGCGATTTGCGCGGGGATAAACAGTGAAACTCACTGTTCATTCTTCCACATCTTTTAGATATATAGTAATTATTGATCAAAGTAAGAAGTTCACACAATAAGCCTCATTGTTGATGTCATCTTTTATTTTGGTTCTGAGATAAAAATTCATGTTATAAATCACCCAAAAAATTTATTAGCAAGGGAAAAAACGTTAAACAAACACAAGGGCTAGCAGCAGCTGTAATACGCATGCAAAACTCAACAATAGGAAAATTTTGCAAATAAGGACTTACATCACCAATCTATCATCTGAGAGGGATGGAAGAATACGCTTAACAGCGACAGGTGTTCCACGCCAAGAGGCTTTCAAAATCTCACCAAAAGATCCCTACCAGAATAAGCTAGAGTTAGCAGTAACTCTTGCAGATAGATTCAAAGAAAATAAACCCAAGGACTTGTATGTCGTGCCCGAGAATTCAAACATTTGACATTAAAATGAAGCAAAGAAGTCAAAGGCAAAAATATACACCAACCACGTGAATTTAGAGGGGGAAAAACATATTAATAGCCAAAAGTGCCTTAAGATCATCTAGCCAAAAAATTATTTCTCTATTCAAGTCAAAGACAAGCTTAAACTACAATTACTTGCTGAGAGATGGCTATACATTAAATGCAAGATTAGAACAAAAATGTAATGTTATCATGGTAGAAGGCATTTAAAAAAAAAACACAAACTCTTACAAGCATAGCAAACTGCAGCATAATTTTAACACATGGAATTGTTTTATTGATGTCCATTAAAAACTTGACAGGATTCACAATCCAAAAACATTCAATAATGATTTCCCAATCATACTCTAACTTATTAATACAATAGTTAGTCAACTTTAGACATTCTACAATCTGTATAATCGACCCTGAGAAATAGAATCAAACCTTTCCAATAATGTTTGAGTTTGAGAAGTCCAGCTCAGAAGGTTCAATTTCCCAGTCACACTTGTTTGGTAGAGGGGGTGGAACAGGCTTTGGTTCAAAATGGCTTCCATTTTGGCCCTGCAATTTGAATAAACAAATTTAGCTCTTCATATTCAAGCAATTAAAAGACACAGAATAAGTGATGTGCTATTGTATTTGTATAAAGTATATGACAGCGAAACACAAAGCATATGACATTGGAGCATTGAGAATGAACACGAGTGGGCAGTTTTGCATAGATGACTGAATACTGAATCACTACACATTATGTACTGCTAACTGAAAAGAACCAGATAACCAAAAACAGTCACTGCCAACACTGAGTACCACTCTTTACATGCCAGTCTTGTGGCAGCTTCCTAGGCTGGTCAATACTTAAAGTGATGAAGCAAAAGAGTAACAGCTTTTTCCCTTCTATTATATCGTGCAAAGTAATTTGCTACATAATTTCAATGTACCAGTAAATTTATTGCCGAATACGATAAAGCACATTAGAAGTGGCTATCTAAAACTCCAAAATCCCTAAAACACTTTTAACCTAATTTATGTTGGATGATACGAAAACAATACTTTAAAAATATCCTGCAACAAACCTCCAAAGCTACAAATGCTAATACTAGTGGATAGTGATGGTGAAAACAGGGAAACATGGCTAGTACACCCTTTAGGTAATTCATTACTGATTGTAGAGTAGCCAAAAATGTATCCTCGAGAAGCAAAACTTCATAATCTTATCATCAATGACCGAAAAAACGTGTGCAAATAAAGGATTGGAGAAGAGGCACTATACTCACATATGACAAGCCACCATATGATTTTAAAAGTTCAATCATGTTGTGCTTTTTAGCTCCTTCTGCATCAGCTAGTGGCTGCAATGACAGAAAAGCCCAAATTTACACAACAGACTATCGATTGCAACTACTACAAGTACACTCCCAATGCATATCAAAACGACACAAACAGGTACATGAAACGGCATACAAAATAGCAGGAAATGATGATGATAATAGCAATGATACCGTATTTTTCCAGCGATCTTGGGCGTTGACATCGGCGCGAAACTCAATCAAGCACTTAGCGACATCGATCCATCCATGGAGAGATGCCACGTGAAGCGGAGTCCGGTTATCGTAATCCCTAGCGTGAACGAGAGATGGATCTTCCTCTAAAAGCTTCCGGACGGCAGCGGCGTCGTTTTGGTGGGCGTGCCACAGTATCAACGACGTCCTGCTAACTCTCGCCTTCTCCTTCTGCTTGTCCGTGGTCCGCGACGATGATGAGGAAGAAACCTTTTCCGTGGTAGTATCGGCGATGGAGGAGGGAGTGTCGGAGCTCATGAGAAAGAAGATCGAGATCAGGATAGGGATCGAGATAGGGATCGTAAGAGGAGAAGAGTAGTTTTTGTTTCTGTTAATTTGGCTTTGAATGTGTGTTAAGTTTTTTTGTGTACTTGAGATTTTGGAGTGGGAAATGGAGAGAGAAATTGGAAATGGAGGGCATGTGTAAAAGAAAAGTTGAGGTTTGTATCCGTTATTCCGGTTTTTACTTTTTCAACAGAAAATATGCGTGCGTGTGTGTGTGTATATATATATATATAGAGAGAGAGAGAGAGAGAGAGAGAGAGATTCTCTTTCCTTTTTCTGTTTCTGTTTCTGTTTCCGTTTCTAATTCTGTTTCTGTTCCTCTCTCTTAAAATCAATCAAATGTTTTTTTCTTTTTTCTTTTTGGTTTGCTTCCCTGATTTAGCAAAGTCTGTAACTAAGAAATTTTAATTGGGATTTTGGGGTTTGGCTACAGTCTGTACCAAATATTAACGATAGATGGTTCTGGGTTGTGAAAATTTGGATGTTTCAACAACTTTTGGCAGGATTTTTGAACGGAACGTTAATGCTAGATAAGGTAAGGGCCCAGTCATAACAGTAGGAAAGCCGCAGAAGGGAGTCTTAAGATACAAGAATCAGCTTGGGATGCATTATTAAAGATTCTTCTGGTGCATTGAATGATACATACAACTTGCAATGCTCGGAACTTGTCAAAATTTCTCCTTTCCTTCTCTTTTTTTATTTTTATTTTCTTTCTTTTTATAATTCAGACTCCAGTTCTTAAATGTTTGATAATTAATTTTTAGCAAATTGCAATAATACTAGAACAGGCAAATTGAGTAGCATTAACAACGAATGAGATCTTTACATTCTACAGAAAGTGCTATGTACATGCCATAACAGTCTTTTTTAAGTTTTTTTTTTTTTTTTGACTTGAGATACCGGTCCCTGTTGTTACCAACTTACCACCAAAAAGGAAAGAAAACAATGCCTAGCAACTTCGTAAGATTCCATGCCACGTTTAAAATATTCCAATTCCATGTGTATGATCAGAATTCAGACCCACTCTCACAAAGGGACCAACTAAAACATTAAACATGGTCGCGTTTTAAATTTCAGCTTCCTTGTCGAAAGGCATTTCTATGTGATCATCAACATTGAAAAAGAAATGAGAACATGTAAACTAAGTTCCCGTATATAAATTGCCGACATCAATGTACAATAAGATATTTAAATCGAATCTTCAGGTTCCCTAACATAAAATCCCATTCATATGGGCTCAACCGCTTCAGATTCACACCAAGTCCTCTTGGTCTTCAAGGGACCGCTTACGAGCCCTCAAGTTAAGCTCAAGGCTTTGAGGCAGAGGAGGTGTCCTACCCCGACGGAATAGAACAGCAAGAGCCCTCATTTTCTGACATAGATCAAATACCTGCAAGAAAAGTAGGGGAACCATTACAGACCTACTACACTTAATAAGTTGCCACAAGAGTTTGGTGGGGTTAAAAATTTGCTCAGGAGTCTTACCGATGAGGCTTCAATTTCTGCAACACCTTCACAACCTTTACCTCCTCCCTGGAGTAAATCACAATATCTTACAGCTTCATTTTCATCTTCAAAAACCTGAAACAGGATTGGAGAGTTTGTATCTTTGGCGAAGAAATCAGAGATCCAATGGGATCTTAAATAAAAAAGGAGACCAGCTCCAACAATTCACACGAAGTTGCATGCAAGGTATCCTAGTTCCCAAAGCATCTTGGGGGAATAGAAGTGAGGACTAGATACTTGTTACCGTAACTTGTTATAGAATGCTCTTAAAGTTTGAACAATGAACATGTGAGGAATAATCAGAAATCACATACCCCGTGACAGAAACCAAAAGGTCACCTAGAAGTTCACTGATGCTAGCAGGTAGCTCAAATGCATGCAGGCACTACCAATTTAGTGCTAATCTTGCTCAAGCATTCGATTAGTTTTGCAGAAAAATTAACAAGTAAAATAAACAAAAACTTACAAGCACTCCCTCCCTAACATCCTCCACAAGCATCTGGAACTTTGTCCCTCTTCTCGACTGCTTAGCCTGACTTCCTATTTCAGATCTCCGCTTTCCTCCTTTGGAAAACAGCAGCCCAAGCTCATTCTCAACTTCACTGATTCAAAAGCAAAACCTGAGCTTGGGCTCGGACAATACTAACAGTTATTCAAGAGAATATAATGCACTAAAACAACTAAAACCTGCGATTTCTTCGAGTTTTCATTGTGCACAACTGGTTTTCTCTTTGAGTGAGTACATACACAGGCTTTGAGGTTTCTCTCCATGGATTGGCATCCAGCACTGAATAAGAATGAAATGGAAGAGATTAGGTAGGCGAAACTTTGTGAAAAAAGCGAATAAAGAATTCATACATCAATACAGCTGCAGCTTTACAAAAAGCAAAACATATGACATCATGTAATCATGTAACCATTGCCAACTAGCCTTTGGTCCAACTGGTGGTTACCTTCTATGTAAAGCAGGAGGTCAAGGGTTCAACTCTCATCGAGGGAGTTGTGCTAAAATATTCACTCATAAGATAAAGTAAGCATGTATCCAGGAAACAACCTCCAGACATTAATGAGCATCCCATACAGTTGAATACGTGAAATAATCAAATTCAAACATATCAAACAACAGATGGTACATACCTACATAACTAACTGGACAAAAATCTGTCACCGATACATACTTAATAATTTCAACCTTCAAACATGTCCGAAAAAGATAAGAATAAAAACGGACTTTTAAACAGCACATAATTAGACACCGAGAACTATGTGCTGGAAACAAAGACTAAGCTCAAGTCAAAGAGGTAAGGCTAAAAATGAAAGGAAAACAGAATTGGCAGTTGCTCTAGCACGCTTCAGGGAATAACAATTTCATTGTATATCTAAAATGTAATTTTAATGCTCAAAAATATGTAGTCAAGTTCAACACTGGCATGTGTTTAAGATGGTTTCTTAAATTCAAAATCTTGATCATCAATTTCATGGTCAATGACCATGACATGAAATATAACCACTTATGAAATTCTATTAATTCAAGAGCGTGAAAGAAATGCTATCTCAACAGAAGGTGAGGAAGAAGAATTGTTGATTAAGCTGATTTATATAAGCTAACACTCCAGTTTAGCTTTGCAGATCACCAGACAGAATCATCAACTGAGCTGATGTCATCAATTAAGCCACCAAAAAGGGAAGGCAGAAGATTTTTCAATTTTCTTCATTTTTGTAATGTAATAGAAAGGATAACTGCGAAAGGCTGCTAAACTAATGAATTTGAGAAGTCAGCGACTTGGGGGCAAAGTAGAGTGCTCATTGATCAGTGGCAAAACCTCGAGGATTTATTTTCAATTGCAACTCTTTCCTATACACGTAGGCAGGTACTCAAGATTGAGTTGAGTCATTCGCCACAAAGCAGAAACACTTCTCTCGCAAAAACGAAAGAGGGAGAAACCAAAGCACCTCCCTCAAAAAGCAACTTCGGTAAGCGGAAAAAAACATTACTTCATTCAATCTAAATGAAAAGAAAAAAGATCACAGAAATGCTAACAAATTTGTCATTACTGATTTCTTTACTTCACAAGAACAAAACCCCAACTAGTTCGAGATTGGGTCTTGGTTGATGTTGCACAAGAACAAAAACCCCAATTATTTCACAAGAAAGAAAAATGATCTATGATTCGATAAAACAGAGCAATGAATATGAGCTGCAGAATCCAAAAAGTTGTGACGTAATGCTGAATTCGAGTCTAAAACACTAAAGCGCACTAACGAAGAACACACGCATCCAGTCACAATTAGCCCATTAACATACACCAGAATAGAAGTGAAAGCGAAAGCACAGAGAAAATTAGTCTCAGAGCAACCAGCTAAAGTAGCAAGCTAGCTAGAATCAAATTTGTTGACAGAGTATTAGAAAAATGCAAGAATTACACAGCAACAGAAGAGAAATGGGAAAAGAAAAGAGTGACTAGTAAGGTAACTACCATCATAACTGCTACTATCAAAACTCTGTTGAAGATGTCTACGCATATCATAAGCACGAGAAGACACCTGCTTCACAAACTCATCTGAAGTCCCTGGAATTGTGCCATCTAAATGAAGCGCTCTCTCCACTTCCTCACTTCCATCATCGTTGCTGTTGTTTCCTTCTTCTTCTTTTGCATCTCCACCTCCACTGCCGCTCGATAATTTACAAGAAACTCGTCTCCTTGATCTACTACTCCTTCTAGAAAATTCGAGGGGGTGTGATACAGAGGAAAAAGAAGAAAGTCCGGGAGGAAGAAGATGGCGGTTACTAGAGAAAAATGATGAAGTTACGACTCGCCGACGTCGTACAGGGAGAGGGAAAACCATAGATGGAGAAACTGAGGCAAGTGAATCCATGATTAATAGCTACTAGCCTTGATCACTCACCCTCAATATTATTGTTTATAAACAAAGAGGGAAATGAGTTTTTACTATTGATTATTTTTGAGTCAGTAATATGGTCGAACGCGCTGTTCGAATGTGAATTAAAAGGGAAAAGTACACAAATCCTCGGCGTGACAGACTCTGTAACTGAGTCGGCGAGTCATAGAAGGAAAAGGAAAGGTTGCTTGTGAGTCTGATTTTTCTTCTCATTTCTTTCTCCTGCGAATGAATCCGAGGGATATTTTTTGGTGCGGTGGGTCCAGGAGGCTTTGGTCTGTGTGAAGATTTAGCGAGGGAAATTCGATCCGGCCGCAGTTTGTCCACGTGGTTGAATCTTGTTATAGTTGTAGATGCGACTTGATTTTCCTATTCTAACCCGCAGCCTCGGCCTGCGCCGAAAACTCTGTTAGTCCAATGTGCATTTGTTCCAAAGTAGCTGAACCGATACATTCCACGAGAAGCGGCATTTAGCACGGAAAACATACTACTTAAATTTAGCGTTTACACTAAACGAAAACTTGCTCCAGCCGTCACAAATATGCCCAGACTGGGGTTTGATATGAAGAATGGACAACCAGAAAACTCTCATTTCTGAATATGGACAAGTTCCGTATTTGGCCAGAAATAAACAAGAAGGTTAGGTGAAAAGGGTGATAACAAATGAAAGATTAATTGAAATGAAGTAGCTATTGCAATGTTAAAACACACCCCACTTGGAATTTACATCAACAACCTATTACTCTCCAACAAAACGGGCATAACCTGTAATGTATTTATCATAACTCTTCTGTAACAATTTATGCAAGAGGCTTGAGGCCCGTCATCAATTGTTTTTAAACAGCAGATAACTTTATCAAACAACTGATACCATAAATAAAAACACTTTAAAGTGAATAACTACTCTTTGAATGCAAAGAAGAAAGAAGAAAGGGTAGACATACAACACAGGATTTTCATATACATAGAGAATGCCCAATTGTAACTGGCAAGTGCTCCGCATTCGACTGATAAATCTATATACTACAGACACAAATAAAAGAAGAGTGAGTTTAACTGGCGCCAGAGACCAGCAATTGCAACAATTTATGCCAAACAACTTCAAGTGTTTATTAATGATGAGAAATCTTGAATGAGATAATAAAGATGATTGCTACAACAAGTGCAGCAATTACTGAGCCAACGATCCACTTGTTTCTGGTCATTCTTCTAGACATCGAAGTGAGGACTTTCTTACTCTTGTCAATAGCATCATCTACTCCATGAAGCTGGAAAAGGAAACAATACAGATTCGTTATACAGCAAACTCATTACTTCTGAGTTACTTGTGACCACATTGGATCCATAGGTCATTAACTAGCATTAAAAAAAAAAAAAAAAAAAAAGCTTGTTCCTTTCGAGGGAAAAAAGATTGGCTAATTGGTTTGATAGTAGTATTGTCAGCCAACAGGAGACTGATACTCGAAATTCAATTTTTTCAATTCAAGTACCACGATTATTTTGTGGTTTGTAATCAAGTCCATAATCCCGTTGACCAAATGCCAACCACACATGACAGACACATGGTGAAATGACCAAAAAATCCAAACCTAAATTAAATTTCAAAACCCTATTCATCTTCTCAAACAAGTCCAACACCTCGTCAATCTCTCCTTCATCACAAAATTACACATCATTTTATTTCCCTGAATTCATTTCTCTTTTTTCTAAACTTTCATCTGTTACAAGTTGTTTTTGACCAAAACAATATTTTTTTCCTTTTTTTCTACTTCTTCAATGTCGTTGAAACTATCGAATTGAATCCCACTCTCTCTCTACCTAATTCACTGTCTCTTTCTAAATCCACTGAATTCAAATTCTCTGCTGCGTCTCTATGATTCTTGAACTGTAATTAGCACATTCAAGACAACATTTTGCCTCTGAAGCTGGCTGGGAATTGGCCAAGTTCATTCTGTAGTAGCTTCACTTCTTTGTTCCAACTGCATTTAAAGTTTAGAACAAACTCCTTCAAAATGTCCTTTCTTTTTAAACCTAGCTAAGGAATACATTAAGATGAACAATGGAGAAACCCACAGCGAGAAAGAAATAGCATTAAGACCATTCTTTATGCTTCCTTGTTTATTTAAGGTCAGGTTGGTGTTTTTCTTGTAAAGCAACCACCAAGAGTTTGAAGAAATGTCTTCTTCATCCCATCTTTGATAGGTATGAAACAACTTTCAAGGCCTGTGACTATAAAGCCACCACTACTGCCATGACAGCACCTCCCACTAAAAGTTGAAGCTATACCGCAAGCATCTTTCCCTTTTGTTATGCAAATCCATCACAAAAACAAACACTAGTGAACACAATTTTGCACCACCAATCTCTTCTGGGATTTTGTATGCATTTGGGTCTATTGGGTATTGAAGTAGATGAATCCTTTTCAATTTAGTGGTGATCCACAGGGAGACAGGGTGCATATGAAGAGGAGGGCAGCGATGGTGCAATGTAGGTGACGCCGAATGTGGTGGTGATAGTGGCGGAGGAGGAGGGAGGGAGAGAGGTTGTGGTGGTGATTGTGGCGGAGGAGGAGGGAGGGAGGGAGAGAGGTGGTGGTGGTGGTGGTGGTGGAAGGTAAGAGTGAGGGAGAAGAAACATAGGGAGAGGAAGGAAACGAGATCTGCAAGGGAAGAGAGTGATTAAATGATTTAGGGTTTTCTCAAAATCTCATTTTTTTGTTTAAATTTAGGACTGAGGGTAATTTATAATTTACCTGCATCAAGTTAGTCAGCAAAAAGGACAAGGTCCACGTGTCTTTTATTTATTGGGTCATGTTAGCATCACGTGCAAATCACATGTCCGAAATTTGGTCAACGAGATCGGTCGACTTGATTACAAACCAAAAAACAGTTATAGTACTTGAAATGAAAAAATTGAAGTTGAAGTACCAGTTTCCGTTTGATCAATAGAACAAGCTGCTATCGAACCAATTAGCCAAAAAGATTAGATACGATACCTTGTTATGAGCATGTAGGAGAGTCTGGCGTTGCTGATTCAAATCTTCAAGAATTGAGACACCGAGATCTTCTGTCTCTAGAATGGTTCTTCTGCTCTCCTTAATTCTATCACTAGACTGATTTAGTCTCTCTACTGACATGGTCAATCTTTCTCTTTGATCTGCAGAAACCTGTACCAGTATTTGACCAATTATTAAAACATTCTTTATCAAAAGCATTTGTTAATCACTCAAGTAGCATGATCTCAAAAGAACCCTTCAATCATCTTCTAGTGATAAGAAAGAGACGACTAAGGAGAGAATCATTTAAAATATATCAAGTGAAACTCTAAAATACCTGGGCTAATTGACCAACACGAATTATTTGTGTTTTAACTTGAATCCAAACATGTTTAGAGTCAATTGATACTCTAAAATACCTGGGCTAAATGTTGTGAATAGGCCAACACGACTTACATAGGTGTTTCTTTTATCCAAACATGTTTAGAGTCCATTCATTAGAGGAAAACTGGACAGCTTTTCATTTTTGGAAGGCCACTAAGCAGAAGGCACTCCTGCTACAAAATCTACTTATACCAGACAACTAGCACAGCCCATCAAACAATACTGGCTCAGTAGTCTAAACAGTAGCTCATGGCGTAAACAATAACCAATAGATCTTCAACTCCAGCAACCATAAAAATCAGAACCTCACAAAGAATTAAAATAGGAGAGTTGAAAATCTATTATACTACACACAGCCAAGAGAGTGTAGGCTGTGAAAACACTTGCCCAACAGAAAAATATGCGTTTGTTCAACAAAACTAAATCAATACAGGTGACTAAATATGTAAAGTTACATCATGCAATCGAAGAACTGAAATAGACAAATAATGGAAGGGCAAGATATGATAATATTGTAATTAAAAGAAAAAATGCATACCGAATGGGCATCAGCCATCCCAGCCTCCAACAACTCTTCCCTGGAAGCCTGATTAGCATCACCAGACGTTATCCTTTTAAATTCCCGCTTCAACTTATTCAGATCAGATTTATATTCCCTCAACTTGGCCAAAAGCATAGCCTTCGCATTCGGCTGCAAGCTCCTCGCCTCGAGGTCCATCTTCCGAATCTACCCAAAATTAAAAACATCAAAGTCATATAATAATCCAACAAAACTAAAACACAAAACAGAAACTAATAACCAACATACCAGAACATCACAATCGTCCAGTCCAGATTTAATCTCATTGACCTTTGCGTTCTTTTCCACTGCAATTTTTCAATCAATTGATAATTATATAGTTAATTATAAGGATCGAGAGCTTTATTTAAAGGGAACTGTAGGTACCTCCATCGGGAAGAAGAGAAGTAGAGTTGCACTTTCGAGAGAGATTGGCAGAGAGCTCGCAGTACTGACGCTCGTATCCTTCGAAGACTTCACTCATGATTTTGCAGAAAAATTGATCCGATTTGGATCGCAAAAGTGACCTACCTAGATTTATATGTCAAATTCAATTTTGTTATCGACAATTAAAAAAAAATTAAGAAGAAGAATATTAGATCGTGAAAAAGTTACTGTTCCTTACAGGTAATTAATTGCTCGCAGATATTCTGAATTGAGAGTTGGTGGAGCAAAGGTACTAGGTGCCCGCAAAACGGGATAACCGCAACTTCAGAGATAGAAGAGAGACACCACAGTTCAATACGTCAATTTGGACAGCTACAATGCTTCTCTTTTTAATGGCAAAGATTGTTGCCTTGTATTCAATTTTACAATTTTAGATTTTTATTATTAATTTATGTAAATTTTATTTAAATCATAATTTTTTCATTATTTATAACCATCTAGTTGGCCGTTAATTTTTTTTAAAAAAAATTTCTGCTGTTAATTTAAAAAACCTTTAAAATATATATTTTTTCATTATTTTTCAAGAAAGATTTTTTCTATTTAAAATTTCTACTTGTTAATTTTTTTATTTTTCATAATTAATTAAATTTTTATTTGTATTTAATTTTTTAATTAAAAAATAATTTTTTATGTATTATCATTATCTATTAAAATAATCAACCTCTATAATTAATAAATACATATATCTAGTGGTTAAATTTGATCATTTGAAATTATCAAATAATTAATTTTAACTGAAACTTTTTTTATCATGTCAATAAATTTATTTTTGTGATTTTCAATCATTAAATTTTAAATATAACTATTTTCATTTAATTTTTTTTTATCTTCACATGTTTTATAGGATTTTGTATTCTTACAATTAATTCAAATATATAACACACATTTAAAATTGTTAGTCTAAGAAAACTATTTAAAAAAAAATTTTAATTTTATTTTATTTTAATTTTTTTAAAAATAGATTCAAAAAGTAAAAGCTCTTTTTCAGAAAGAACTAAAAAAAAATTAGTGATAAATTTAATGATTTTTTTATTTATAGGTAAAGGATGAAAAAAATCTCTCGTTAAAAATAAAGAACAAACATTTAAAAAAAATTAACAGCCAATTCAAATAATGAAAAAAATACAATCTCAATAAAATTTATTTCAAAATTAATATTTTATGATTTAAATTATTTAAATTGATGATAAAAATTTAAAATTACTAAATTAGAATACAAGAAAGGTAATTTTTTTCATTAAACCAATGCTTCTCTGTTGACTTATGTGAACACGCCATCAGCTTTGTGTCTGCTGATTCATTAGAGGTGGGTGGGTGGGGAAAAACGCCCTTTTTGCCCAATTATTGTGTATTGCTTTGCTTTATTGTTTAATTCGTGGTACAAAAGAGCGATAGAGAATTATTCTAAATAACAGAGGCAATGGGTCGATATAATAAATTTTACACACTAAATCTTCTCATTTTCTTCAAAGAAATACGGCCATTGCATGCGACGATTTGATGAATTATAATTTAAAAGGCCATTTGAAACAAATTATTTTAATTTCCTACTAGTAGGCTTCTCACACTATGCCATGAATTAAACAAAAGAAGTTTATTTTAATTTGATAATTTATACTATATTATTTGTTAACTAAAATATATAAAATTTAAAGCAACAAAAAAAATTTCATTTAATTTTATAATTTTCAATCAAAATTTTGTATTTAATTTATTCTTTTTATCTTTTTCATAAATTTTGTAATTATACAAACACGATTTATTATTTCTTATGCATTTATTCTTAAATAAAAAACCTATAATAATCTAAATATAAAATTTTAAAAAATATTTTAATAATTTTTTCATAAATTGCATCGAAGAAATAAAACAACATTATTTAAAAGCTTGTATAAAATTTAACAAATGAATATTTTTTTTATTGTTCCTTAATGCTAATGAGAAGATTAACTTTTTGAAAAATAATATGCATATTTAATTTATATATATTTATTTATTTACAAAATAATCAATAATATTAATATAAAAAATCGTATTTGAATTACTAGGTGGTTCTTTTAAAATATTATTTAACTCATTCTATTAGAAAGAAATTAATTTTATTTTAAAAAAATTAATAACAAATGGTTGGTGTTATACGTGTAGATGCATTGTTAGTTTATAAGAAAACTTATATTCTTAATTTTTTTCATACATTATGGTCATATTTAGTAAATCGAGTATACGAGTATAAATCGAAGAATTTTTTTTAACAAAAAATCAAGTTACAAGAAATATATTGAATTTAATAGACTATAACAAAAACAATTATAAAATTAATTCGGATAAATTTTGATTATATAAAGAATAAAAAAAACATAAATTCTATTTTTTAATTAATTATTATATTTTTATAAAAACGATTCAAAAATCCATACACAGAGAAAAATAAATTATATTTATTAACAAATAAAATTTCATAAACAAGAAGAATAAAAAAAATGAAGATACTTTTCATTAAAAAAAATAATAATAAATTAAAGAGATCAATTTTAAACAATACGAGTAATATAATTCAATATATATGTTTATGGAAAAGTATAAAAATTAACAATTGGTTTTTTATAATTTTCGCACTCAATTCAATAAAAAAAAAATCGCTTAGAAAAACAAACTAAAAAGAAATTATTTATTTATTTAAAAATGATTAAAAAGAACAAAGAAAAATAAATTATGTTTATTAACAAATAAAATTACATAAAAAAGAAGAATAAAAAAAAATTGAAAAGCTTTTTCATAAGAAATGACAAATTGAAGAGATTAATTTTAAACAATAAAAGTAATATAATTTGGTATATATTCATGAAAAAATATATTAAAAAAATAACAATTGATTCTTTTTATATAATTTTTGCAGTCAATTCCAATTAAAAAAAAACTGCTTGAAAAAAACAAAATCCAAAAAAAAAAAGGCAAGTCTAATCCATTTAGGAACAAAAATAACTTTTAAAAAATCAGAAGCCAAAATATAATATAATGTAAAATTTATATATAAATACCCAAAACACAACCACAAAATCACATAAATACCATTGTCCAAAAGTACTAAAAAATACCGCAAAATAAATAGTGATTTGCTAGAGAATGAATAGTTACAACCTCTGTTTTGGTTTCTCACTTGTATCAGTCTTTTTCTTCACTATTTTGGGTCTCCCACTTTGTATCACTCTCTTTCTTTCTCTCACTATTTTTGGTCTCCCACTTGTATCGCTCTCTTTCTTCATACCATCTCACTACTTTTGGCTCTCACTTCTATCCGAGTCTCTTCATATCATCACACAGGTGAAGGCAATCAGAGTCCACTGAAGAGAGGCATTACTTGCACGGACATTTCAGGACAATTAGTTTCATCATATGGAAACTTAAATCCATGCCCTCCTTGTTAACGATGGGAGACCAAGTTGATCAGCAAATACAATTACGAAGTGGTTTTACGTGTTTGAACCAAAGCCACTTTTATCTCGTAAACTAACCATGTGATCACTCCTACAATCCCCATTCCCCAGCAGTAATGAACTTTTTGCTGGTGAAGAAATACACCTTTACACCCCTGCCAACATTTCAACTTGGAACAGCATTACTCGGTTCACGGCAAGGCCAACCAAGAGAGGGGGTGTTGGGGGTGGGGGAGGGAACAGTTCTTCTAACTTGGTGGATAACAATGTACTGTGATCACACCTACATTCCCCAGCAGTAATGAAACATGAACAACATTACTCAGTTCACGGCAAGTCCAACCAAAGGGGTAAAAAAAAAACAGTTCTCCAACTTGGTGGATATCAATGTACTCCGTACACAACATTTAGCTAAATCAATTGAAGAAAGATAAACACATTTCAGCAACAAAACACAGTTTTTCAAAGAGTAAAGGAGCAAGCAGAATTGCCTCCTACATCTAGAACCTTAAGCCATAATCTTGGCAGACCTCACGTAGAGGCTATCCACTACCTTGCCAATATTGGAAATAGTCTCCAATGTTGCAGGGTAGATTGCATCTGTTTTAGGATCATCAAAAATGACGAGGCATCCAGCACCTTGATCTAAAGTCCCAGCAAATTTCTTATCCAGAATCATCTGAGATAGTTTCTTCTCCACGTGGTCTACAGGCAGTTCAATCAGATCAGCAATGTGAGCAATCTCAACCCTTGAGAATGGTTCAATCAACCTGCAGAGATTCTGCTCTAGTAAAGTGTCATATAGGGACGAGAGATGCCGATGAACAATTGGGTCTTCCTCTAATTGCGCCTTAAAATCCCGAAGTGCAGTCTCAAAGAGCTTCAAGGAGCGTTTTGCATGAGCATCAGCAACAGCTTTCATTGCATCCAGCTCAGGCCCCACATACTGTAGCCCTGCTTTGGATGATATTATTCCTGCAACATCATCAGCTTGGCTCACCATTATTTTGCACAACAACATATACTTGAGGCTAAATACTGCTCGGGGATCTTCAAGTGCATTGAAAGCTTCAAATGCCTCAAAGAAGTAGCTGTAAGCAGTTTTGTAATCCTTCTCTTCTGCATGAAGGATCCCACTCTGCAAATCTATAGTACCCTGTTGGGCTGGAGGAACATAAATTGCATTGGCTGCTGTTCTTGCTGCCGTAAGTGCAGCCTTGGCTTTAGGGAGGTTTCTTAGGGAAAAGTGGAGCTTACTCTCCAGCAAGTCTATGTCCACAAGAAGCAGCTTGTCGTCCAATCTTCTCACCTCCTTGATCAGCCCAGAAAGCAGATTTAATGCTTCTGAATACTCTTTATTTTCCATCAAAAGAGCTGCGAGTCTTGCTTCAACTCTCTGTCGAAGAAAAGTTCGCTTCTCAGCACGGGTCCATTGCACCATCTCTTTGCACAGAGAAATCTGGAGATCAGAAGTGCCTGGTATTTTAGCTACTGCATCAATTATCCCACGAACAATTTTAGCAGTTTTTGCCTTGGGAATCAATGCAAAAAAGGGCCTCAACTGGGTCAGAAGGCTTCGAAGCTCCTCCGCCCGGTTCTCCTGTCTAAGAAGATCTGAGAGATTCGTGATTGCCTGTTCCTTAATCCTGAGGGATTCAGGAGAAGAAGATGGGTTCTCTAGTATGCAGTAGTAGATAGAAATGGCTTCAGATGGGTTTTTTGTTTCTAAAGCCTGAGCAATTGAATCTGTAGTGGCAGGAAGATGTGATGTTGACATGGTGAATGCTATGAAATAACGAAGTCCTGTAAAATGAAAATTTATTTGATATGTGAAACCTTGAAAGAAATGAAAATGCCCAAATAAAGAATTGCTTGTAACATATCCATCTAGAGTCTAGACAGGTGCACACATACTGAATACATAGGCAAGATTCATTTGCCGTTGATCTTGACAACATAATACTGTCACGACCTTTTGCAGCACAAGATTCTAATTATTGTCCAGTGCAAACATATCGACTACATAGGCATAATTTACATGCGGTTGCTACCTATCTTGACAACATAATACTGTCAAGACCTTTTGCTGCACCAGATTCTTATTACTGTCTCTGACACTGCCAATAACAATAGAGCTTACAACCCTATTTCATTCCACGAAAACAGAAAAATCAACAATATCACAGGATCACTATTTTCAAAAAATGCCCTGATCTTAACAGCCAACTTCAACACTCAATGCACGTCAATGCACACAGATTATACTTGGAGGTTTTTTTTATTTTTCTCAAATGGTCTACCAAAAACAATATAGAGAAACAGATAGACTCACTAACTGAAAAGGTAGGCTGGTTTGGCAGTAGATGATATTGTTGGAGTTACAAAGCTTTAGCTTATATGCACATTCTTATCAAACTCATGATTTTTAAATCGCACAATCCTACATTTTTATATTACAAAGCAGGTTAAAAGACTCAACTCACAAGGAAAATTGGACCTAGATAAAATCGTACAGCAGTTGCATGTCAGCTAGATGTGAACGTTGAAATCATGTTTTATATCATGTTTTTTATATCATGTTTTATGGGTTTTAAACATGTAATTTACTTTGGCTGTTGAAATAGAGCAACCAAAAAGAGGAGCTTAGTCACCTCCTAACATTTTTTTCTCTCCCTCCACTCTGCTTTTCCACCAATCATAAATGAAACCTCAAATTGTACACTACATGTCCATTACAGACGAAACTAAAATACAGATTTCAACCAAACCCTAATTTCCCCCAATAGTTTGACAAATAACAATTTAATTAATCAATCGACTTAAGTTTCCAATGTGTAATAACAAATCACTCAACCCCTAATAGGTCAAGACTGAATAAAGCCCTACGTCTATATCGTACCAAGTACATCTCCGAGAGAGCAAAAAATACCATACGTGTCCAGCAGACTGGGTTGGCTGAGCCAAGAACTAGTCCCTACCTTGTTTTAGTAAAACAAAAGAATTGAAAGCTAAGAAAAATCTATATGTACTCGAAAAATAAAGAAAATTTTATCTGTTCCAGACCCAAATGGAAGGTAACCTGATTCGTGCCAAAATTGAAGATACAGCAATAGCAAGTAAATAGACTCAAAGGAATAGTAAGGGAGATTGAAATGATGCAGCAATAGAAACTATATAGATTGTAAAAAGTGAAGCGTGCCTGTGACTGAGAAGATCAAGCTTGGTGGTTGAGTAGATCGAGTTACGCCTGCTTTTCCTGTGTTGGAGAGATGGAAGTGAGACAAAGAAAAGTTTTCGATTTTTAATGTGTGCCCTTCATGGACTGATTTCTGGGATGACTTGTGGGCTCGGCAAACTCTTTAGCTGTTCTTGGACCTAAAGCTGATAAAGTTTCAAGGCCCGGGGTAAATAAGAGCGCTGGGGTGTTTTTATTTTTATTTTTTCCAACAACACAAGTTTTAGTATTTTTAAGAAATTCAACAAGAGAAAATTAAAGTACCTGCATGGTGATTGATGAACATCTATTATGCCCCAAATTCCCCTGCTGTAAGTGCCCTCGCTGTATTCGAATTTGGTTTTGCGCACACGTCGAAAAAAACCCAATCTATTTTCTAGAAAAAATTTAATTTTTTTCAAGATCTAGAATCATATTTATTTATTAAATATTAAAAATATAAAAATTAGAAAATGATTAGGAACGATCACAATTTTTTTTGGGAAGCACAAATAAATCTTGTTGAATAGTTTTTATCTTGAGGCTATTTATGTATTTGCAATTTTTTAGAGATAAATAATAGAAAATTAAAAAATTGACTAAGAGTATGTTTGATAACCCATTTAAATAACTTAAAAAATTAAGTTGCAGCACTTAATATAAAAATTTTGTTTAATAATCTAAATAATTTTATATTTAAAATTTAAATTCAATTAAAATCCACTTAATTCGGTAAATTAAAGTTTTTAACTTAAAACTTTTTCATTAATACGCTCAATTGAAATATTTTTAAAACTTTTTAAATATGATCGTGTATCCCTAATGTATTTTTATAACTCAAGTTATATAAACCGATTGAGAAACGATCTCTATTATCCCATTGTTGAAAAAAGGAGACTTTTTCCATTGTCGATACTTCCATCCCATCATCGTCAACAAGTTACCAATTAGAAGAAAACCAAGTAAGCATCCGGATTATGAAGGTGGATTTTTGCAAAGAAAAAAAGCGAGGTTGTACTATGGATCAACCACTCGACCACTAAACCATCACTTTGGAAGGATTCGATAGCGTTTGGTTATCGGGATGGCAAACTAGAGTTGAACTCATTCCTCAAATTTTAAGGTAATTAATGTAAATTTGCAATTAAAAGATTCAAAACTCTCAATAAATTCATTTTTCTTGGAGATTTTTATTGGATTTAATTAAAATTTTCTTGTAAATGAGAGATTAGTGAATACTCGAACCACATGAAAAAAATCAACAAGATACTTTTTAAACACTTATGAGAGACACTTGGACTTCGTCATGACTATCTTTCAAGCATAGAATGCATAGAAAGCAAATTTATAGCTCGCAATTATTACCCCTATTGTCCCGTACTAAAATTGACAAGGGGCGTTAGCAATCATACAGACACTGTATTTACCGACTATACTTCGTAGGACGACATGGGTGGCCTCCAAGTTCTTCACCGGAATCAATGGGTTGATGTCACCCCATCCGGGGCAACTTGCAGTAAATACAGGGGAATTCATTTTTATTAATAATCATACACCATATTTAGTTTTTTTATTAAATTTTATTTATTTATTTATTTATTTATATACATAAACACATATGTATATGTTTTTATTTGTATTAAAAAAAATCATGTTACAATTATAAGGTTAAAATTATTATGTATATGGCTTTAATATATCCAAGAACGATATTTATCAACTAACCTTATTATATTCGAGCACTTGATTTTTAATAAATATCAAACATCGACACCATATTTAATACTTAATTATTCAAGCATCTAAAATTCGAGTACTTAATAAATTCAAGCATCGTTATGAAAAATAAAAGTAATATGAGAATTTACGTAAAGGATGACAAGAAGAAGAATTCATAATAAAGTAAATACAAGTGAGAAAAACTTTAAGTTATTCTCTTAATCTCTCTAAAAACTTGTACATCAATAAATGAACAATCAAACTTATTTATAGGCCTCAAAATTTTGATGAGAATCGGAAGGGACTATGAATAATTAAAAATACATCAATTGCATCACCCTTTCAATTTCTCATATTGAATGGTGAATTGAATCACATTAAGGATCATGAGTAGTGGAGATATGAAAAGTAGATGGATGTTCATTATTTTATAACACTCCCTCTTAAATGTCCATTATACAAGGAAAATGCCTCGTTAAAACCTTACTAGGAAAAAACCCGAGTAGGAAAAAAATCCTAGTGAAGGAAAAAGAGTACAACATTCCTTGCACACATTAATACCCATTTTGGTCTTTCGTGGTTGAAGACATTATTTAAGATCTCTAAGATAACACATTCCAATCTTGTGAATCATCTTCTCAAAAGTTATGATAGGTAATGCCTTAATGAACAAATCTGCTAGATTGTCACTTGATCGAATTTGTTGAACATTAATATCACCATTTCATCGAAGATCATGTGTGAAAAATAATATCGATGATATATGCTTTATTCCGTCACCTTTGATGTATATTTCCTTTAATTGAGCTATGCAGGTAGTATTATCTTCATACAAGATCGTTAGAACTTCCTTGCTAGTGGATAAACCGCATGTCTCTTGAATATGATGGGTCATTGATATTAACTAAATACATTCTCGACTTACCTCATGAATTTCTAGTATTTCTACATGATTTTAAGATGTGGCAGCTATAGTTTGCTTTATAGAACGTCATGATATAGCTATATCTCCATATGCAAATACATAACTAGTTTGAGATCGAGCTTTATGTGGATCGAGTAAATAACCCGCATCCGTATAACCAATTAATCCAAGTATTTGCTCTGTTAGAGTAATATAAGCCCATATCAATTGGTCTTCGGAGATAACATAACATATGTTTAATTCCATTCCAATATCTCCGTGTTTGAGCGTAACTATATATCGCTAATAAATTTATAAAAAAGGCTATATCATGTTGAGTATTATTAACAAGATACATCAATACACCAATTACACTAAGGTATGGTATTTTAGGACCAAGAAGTTCTTCGTTGTCTTCTCGAGGTCGAAAAAGGTCATTTTGAACATCAAGTGAAGGAACTACCATTAGTCTAGTCAATGGATGAGCCTTGTCCATGTAGAATCTTTGTAGTACTTTTTCTATATATGTTGACTGATGAATAAAAATTCCATCTTTTAAGTGTTTGAACTGTAGGTCGAGATAAAATTTTATTTTTTCAAGATCTTTCATATTGAATTCTCCTTTTAAATAATTTATGGCACTTAAAATCTCTTCGGGAGTTCCAATTATATTTAAATCGTCAACATATATAGCAATTATCACAAACCTCATTTCAAATTTATTTATAAAGACACCTGGATAAATTGGGTTATTTTTATAAACTTTTTTTAATAAATAATCATTAAGATGATTATATCACATGTGTCCAGATTGTTTAATCCATATAGAGATCTTTGTAATTTGATAAAATATATCTCTCGAGAATGTATTTTACATGCTTCGGGCATTTTAAGTCCTTATCGAACTTTCATATAGATATCATTATCAAGTGATCCATAT